AACCATCTGCTGCCTCCCAGGAGCCACGGCCTGTGTCCCTGCGGTGCTCCTCTCCCCACACAGGTGCCTCCAGCGGAGGATTTCCTTTGTGTGTGATGAGCCTGCCAAGGCCGCTGGTTTCTGGAAGGCCTTCTTTTCCAAGCACAGCCATAGGCCTACCATCTAGCCTCTTGGGCTTCAGCAACTGAGGTGGTGGCTTCCCCACAGCAGGGTTTGTTCTTAGGGGCTGGGGGATTGGAGGCAATGCATATGTGGACAAATTCTAACCAGCAACAGATACGGCCTCTCGGAAGAGAGAGGTCATGTGTCACCTGCTGGGCCAGTTTCATCTTGGAGCTTGGACTCATTTGGGCACCATAGCTGATGAATGGGGGGCAGTGGTGGTTCAATGGTAGAATTTTTGCATTCCATGTGGAGACCTGGGCTCAATTCTCTGCCAGCTCACCTCATACGTAGCTACCACCTATCTGCCCATGGAGGCGTGTGTGCTGCTGAACCAGTTTTAGCGGAGTTTCCAGACTAAACTAAGAAGAAAGGCCTGGTGATCTACCTCAGCAAATCAGCCAATGAAAACACTTATGACTCACAACAGTCCCATTCGCAGCTGATCATGGGGATAGTGGAGCACTGGGAGGCATTTTGCTTTGTTCTTTATGGGCCCCCATGAGATGGGTACCAACTTGATGGCAGCTAAAAATGCAGCTGGTGAACACACACCTAGAGTGCTTCATGACAGGCATGGTCAGAGGACTTGGCAGGCAGCGTGGTAACTGAACACTGTCTTGGGCACAGGAGTCCGACAGACTGAAGTTGGCTCTACCACTTACTTGGCTGCAGGAGTTTGTGCACATTTTTTAGCCTTTCTTAGGCTGTTTCCTCATCTATACAGTTGGGTGTTTCCATGGATTGGACCAGAAGGTACAGAGGCTTGGAGGTCCCTCACTGTGGGTGATTTTGAGGACTAAAAGGAATACAGAGCCCTGGTGTAGCACTGTAGGACTACTAACCACAAGGCCTGCTGTTAACCACAAGACCGGTGGTTCAAACCCACCAGCCACTCCTTGGAAACCCTACCCAAAGTCACTATGAGTCAGAACCAACACAGCAGCACTTAATAACAACAAAATCAACAACAGGGGAAGGGCAGTGCCTCTGTAGGACACGTACTGGGCTGCAAACCACAAGGTTGGCAGTTTGAGTCCACCAGGCACTTCAAGGGATAAAGATGAGGCTTTCTGCTCTGGCAGAAAAGATTTACGGCCTGGGAAAGCTTATACAGGGTCGGTATGCATCAGAACTGACTCATAAATAGACGGCAGTTAAAAACAACAGCATGAGGACTAAATAAGATAATGCATGTGACTCAGTTACCTAGTGCTACTCTAACAGAAATCCCACAGGTGGGCGACTTCAGCAAACAACAAGACTGAAAGTCTGAATTCAGGCCGCTGGCTCTAGGGGAAGGCTCACTCTCTCTCCTCTGCGGGAAGGTCCTTGTCTGTCTTCAGCTTCTGTCTCTTGGTTCCTTTAACCATCCTCATAAAGCATGTATCTTCCCCTCCATTTGTACTTTTTTTCTCTGTAAGTGATCCACTCTTTTTTATATTTCTTAAGTGATTAGCTTAAAACACTCACAGAAACCCTATTGTTGTTAAGTGCTGTTGTGTGAGTTCCGACTCATAGTGACCCTGTATAGATAGGGTTTCCAAGGAGCAGCTGGTGAGTGTGAACCACTGACCTTGTGGTTCAAACTGACCTTGCAGTCCAGTGCTTGTCGTACAGCTCCACACCAGGACTCTCATACAAGGTCCTGAAACCCTATATAGGGTCACTATGAGTTGGGACCTACTTGACAACTTACAGCCACCACACTGATAGGGCCTCTTTCATATAACAAAAAAAGTCCTATTCTCAAATGGTGTTAACATCTATCAGTATAGGGGTTTAAGATTTACAACGCATATTTTGGGGGCACAATTCACTTAATAAAAGCCCATAAGCCCTTGTGCTGGGTCTGCCCCTAATAAATGCTTAGGAAGTGGTACATGCCCACCTAAGATGGGAAGGAGGCCTACATATCCTTGTAGGATAGGCCCAAGGCCCTGGGAGTGAAGCAAGAAGGGAGGAGTTTCCAAAGCCTCACCTCTCATCAAAGCACCTTACTGATACTATGTGTGAATGAAGATGCCAGAGGGGAGCCCAGAGTACTATGATGTTGTTTTCCCTGGAAGGATGAGAATACGGAAAGGACCTATTCTTCTCATAGTTCTCAAGTTATGCATAAAAACCCAGTACCTTTCATCTGTGGGAAGATCATGGTTTTGTAAACTTTAACATCTTCCCAAAATGCCTTGTGGCAGCTGAGGAGCAGGGGCAGGGTAGGAATGAATAACTTGTCTCAAGGCTGAGGAAGCAGGACCCCATCAGCACAGCCTCCTTCCTCGTCTCCCTGGAGAGTTGCTTGTACCCTGTGCTGGATGGCAGTTGTATGGTGTTTGGTTTCTTATTTTGGTTCTGCTTAAGCAAAGAGTAACATGGAGGCCAGGAACTATATCTTCTGTGATTGCCTGGATGTGGGGCAGGGAGTGAGGTGTTAGGGTAGCCCATTTGTTCAGGGGCAGTTCATGACAGTTCTCCTGAGAGGTACACAGAGCTTCCTTTGACGTCACTGTGGGTTGCTGGCTGGCTGAGGCCCAGAGTGGTTTGTGGAGAGACCAGCAAAGTCAGCACAATTGTCTGTCTTGAGTCATTAGGACTTCATCTGACATTGGGCAGAAATGCCGTCCTCTCACTCTGACTAGTGGTTAACAAGCTAAGCCTTTCAGATGTGTCCATGGGGACCCGAAGAGCCATACTCTCAAAGTTATATGACTCTCCTAGGCAGAGCCCATTAGACAGTAAGAAAGATCTGCACAATGAAGATGTGTGTGAATTTACTGATTTTCTTTGCCGTGCCACCCCCAGCCTAAATGGCTGGCCCAGGACTCTTGTTCATGTTGTTGTTAGGTGCTGTTGAGTTCATTTTGACTCAGTGTCCCGGTGTGACAGAGTAGAAGTGTTCCGTAGAGGTTTCTAGGCTGCAGTTTTACAAGAACAAGTCACCAGGTCTTTCTCCTCTGGAGCCTCTGGGTGGGTTCAAACTGCTGGTTAGCAGCTGAGCATTGTGCTACCAGGGCTCCTTTCAAAACTTTGTGTTGTTGTTAAGTGCCATTGAGTTGGCTTCAACTCATAGCAGCTTTTATATGGTTTACAAGGAGTGGCTGGTAGGCCAGAACCACAAATCTTTCAGGTTGTAACGCCATAGAACTAGTTAAGTGCCGTCGAGTCGGTGCCGACCCATAACGACCCTGTACAGGGTTTCCAAGGCTGTAAATCTTTACAGGAGCAGAAAGTCTCATCTTTCTCCCACAGAGCGGCTGGTAGTTTCGAACTACAGACCTTAAGGTTCACAGCCTGATTCGTAACCACTACGCTACCAGAGCTCCTTATAGAATTCTGTAGGACAGAGTATTTGGGAAGTCCATGCCAGGCCTCCAGTAAAAGCTGTCTTGTTATGTTTCTTTCTCATTTCAAAGCCTAAAGGGAAACTGTGAGCATGACTGCTTTATTCATTTCAAATTTGTTTCTCTCCTGAGAGCCAGAACTTTTTGGTCCACACCCTCACAGCCCATGTGGTGGGGGGTTGCGTGAGTCCTGTGCAGTGGGACAGGCTTGTTGGACCTGCTGGCTCTCTGCCTGGCCATTGTGGCCTCTCATTGCATTTCAGTTTTAGAAAGTCATTCTAATTTAGTGCTTATTGATAGCAAAACTCTCAAGAGGTTCCTTCCTCATCAGAATGTTGTTGCTCGATCTCCAGAAGAAACCTCCAATACTGTAATATGAGGGCACATAAAGTCATTCGTTGGCAGGGCCAGCTTCGTGGGCATGTGACCTGAATTAGAGAACTCTGAGCTGAAAGTTTAATACTTGGCCATTGCTGTCTTGAAATTCTTAATCATTCTGTCTTTGAATTTGCATTTTGTAAGTGAAATCCAAAGGGTCAGTGGAGGTCATTAGGGGCTCCCATGTTGCAATCTCCCTGCCTTCCCTGGATGGGTTCTTGTCCCTGCCATGCTCTTCCCCAGGTGGAGGCTTGGGCATAGATAGGTCAGGTCAGATGTACGCACCTCCACCAACACCAGCATTTCGAGGCAGGACAAGTGGAGGCCATCCCACCCCGGGCTGACAGCATGTTCATAGCTTGTTTAGTAAGCAAAGAGATGAGTCTTTCTTTCCACTCACTACCCCCACTCCAGGTATCTACGTGTCCAAGTGTGCAGGTTGCAGTACCTTTGGGGGGTCACCTGCCCACCTTGAGTTGTGGCTACCAATCCCCGAAGAGAGGAGATTCCTGACTAGACTTCCCCCTACCCTCACCTGCTGTCAGGAGGAGACCCCAATAGCTAATGGGTCACCTGAATGCTTGACTCCAATGTCACTTGAGGCTCTAGGCACTTACAAGGGTCTGTGCTCACCTTGTGAGTATTCCTGTGCCTAAAAGAGATTGATGACATTAAATCACAACTGAAAAGCACTCTGACAAGCCTGGAGACAGGCCACAGAACAAAGGAAGGTTGTTACGTTAGTACCTTTATAGCTTAGTACCTCTTCCTGCTATTTGAACAAGGGGGTCCCACCATTTCATTTTGCCCCACAAATTACATAGTTGGTCCTATCTGTTGACTCTTTTGTAAAACTACCAATGTTCTGTCTTTCAGAGGTCCTAAGCAGCATGGTGGTTAACTAGTTGGGCTGCTAACTGCAAGCTCAGCAGTTCAAATCCACCAGCTGCTCCACAGGAGAAAGATGTAAAAATTTTTAACCTCGGAAACCATATACAGGGCCACTAGGAGTCAAAACTGACTCAAAGGCACACAACCACCACCCCCACCACCTAGAATCCTCTGCAAAATTATGTGCTACATACACTCTTAACCTTTTCTCTCTTCTTCCCCACACAGGTGTTTTATTGGCTGTATGCCAAGCCCTGGAGAACACCACATCAGCCCTGAGCGGTGAGTCCAGTTTTTCCTTGATGTATGTATGGGGTGTGGGGTCTGGCCATGACCTTGGAGAGCCTCTGCCTGCTGAGTACCAGCTGTCCCTTGAGCCCTCTGTGCCCTCTCATCACACATTAGTGCTCTCTGGGGTGTCTTAGCCATAAGCTCGAGGGAGCTCTTCCCTGCCTCTTCTATCTCTCATCACCGGTTCCGGTTGTGTGGACAAGTGCATTAAAAAATGAGCTTTCAGGACCCCAGGCTCGGGACATTTTCCAGGTCACATATTAACCCAAAAAGAAGAACCCAAATTCCTGACCCCTCTGGTCTGCTTCTACCTGGTGATCTTTGTTATTATCTGATTTATACCTTGAAATTCATAGTAATGTTCTCTTTTCATTGTAAAGCTCCTGTATCAGCACTATACCAAGGAGTTCTGGTATGGCGCTGTGGTTTGAGCCGCAAGGTCTCGGTGGTTCAAGCTCATTAGCCACTCCTTGGAAAAACTATACAGGGTCCCTTTGGGTTAGAACTGACTCGATAGCACTTAACAACAACATAGCAACACTTTGGAACATTTGGGAAACAAAGGAAGCAAAATTGCCTGTAATCCTGGGCACTGCAGTAAAGCCATCACTGTGGCTTTTGTACATTGCCTTTAGACTTTGTTCACAAGTGTTAATATTTTTATAATATTAGTCATGGAGAGGAAACTATTTTGATTTCTGCTTTTTTTTTTTTAACTCAAAGTTTTGGGATTGTGCGTTTTTCCATGTTGCTGGAAAGTCTAAAATGTATCCCTTTATAAATGTCAGGAAGTTGCACTCAAGTGGACATGCATAACTGAATGATACATTTTCCACTGGAAATTTGTGCCTCGGTTTTTAAGTGAAGATGCTGCCTCTTCTTTCCCAGATATGCTTTTTCACTTCTCTTGGATGCTTTCCTTATATGTATCTCCAGAAGCAGGAATAAACATGCTTCTGACCATACCTTACCAACGGCCAGAGGGCTTTCCAGATGAATTGTGCTGAGCCTGCCCGTTTCACTGTCCTTGTTAACTCAGAGTGCGTCTCACTGACCTCTGCCCCATCTGTTGAATCTGCTAGTAGCTCTGCCTCTTTCTGTCCCCTACTTACTCCAGAGAGGTCCCAGGAGGTATTTCTTCCGTACTCATCAATTCTCTATCCAACCACACAGTGCCCTTGGTTCTTGTGTTCTTCTCCTTTAAAAGATCTTGCCCTCCAAACACGCAGGAGCTGAGCTGATGCTACCGCTGCTCCTGCAGCTTCCCAGCTGATGTACTTTTTATCACTGTTATCACTGATGCTACACTTTGGTGGTCCATGATAACATGAAAGAAAACATCTCCTGTTCTCTGTTATGATATCTGGTGGTGTAGTGGGTTATGTGTTGGGCTGTTAACCTCAGGGTCAGCAGTTTGAATCCATCAGCCTTTCCATGGGAGAAAGAAGGCTATCTGATCCAGTAAAGATATACAGTCAGGGAAACCCAAAACAGGGTTGCTATGAGTGGGTTTCACCTTGGTGGCAGTGGGTCCATACTTCGTTGGGGCTAAGAGGACAGGGGTGTGAGTGTGTCAGTCCTAAAGCAGTGCTTCTGGGGCCCAGGGTCTACCAGAGTTCCTATAAACCACATCTTTCCCCTTTTAATTACCTCCCACTCCACAAAAGGCTCAGATGTGAAATGTAGGGGGAGGGTAACTTACCAGGCCATCAGGTTGCCTCCTAGGGTGCATGTGGCCTTTGGTGCCTCTTCAGTCCCTTCTGCAGTTAGAGCGCCAGTGCAGCCTGGTACCTTAGTGACACTCACATGCTGGGCATCATTTGAGAGAACTTAGACACTAGGTCAGTTTCGGTCATCTTCTGATCTGATAAGCATTGCCTTGGGTTAAGATACTTCCTGTGGTTTATTTGTGCTTCTTGCAACCTTCCAGGCCAAACTGGATGGAGCTGTGAGGCAGAGCCCTCTCTCCAGCCTCTCCCAGTTTTCTCCATACGGCTTGCAGGGGAAGAGACATGCCCACTACCAAGTCCCTTCCAAGTAACAGGTTGCAGTGTTAACTAGTGCTGGTGGTATTCTCCATGGAAAGGGAAGACACTCCTGGTAATATTGCCCGTTGGTCTCAGTCGCCATCTGTTCAGACAGACAAGAAAAGCCTAGAAAATGTCTAATGTGAGCCTGTATGTCTTCTGTCTCGGCCCTTTAGGACTACCCAGTCCCACCTGGACAGACATGGGTGGACCTGCTACATTTATTTTTTTTTAAAGTTGCAATACTAACTTAACCTCTGTTTTATCTTTCCTTTCTGGACTTCTTCTAAGAGGATGTCTGTGACATTAACAAGAACTTACTAATAATATGACATGAAGTCACCCCATCCTAGCTCTAAGGAACATTCTGACTATACTACTTCCAAGACAGTTTGTTTCTTCCTCTAGCAGTCCATGGTATATGCAGTATTCTTTGCCAAACCATAACTCAAATGCATCAGTTCTTCTTCGGTCTTCCTTATTCATTGTCCAGCTTTTACAAGCATATGAGATGATTGCAAACACTGTGGATTGGGTCAGGCACACCTTAGTCTTCAAAGTAACATCTTTCCTCTAGACCAAGAGATCTTTGTAGCAGATTTGCTTAACGTAATATGTCATTTGATTTCATAACTGCTGTTTGCATGGGCATTGATTATGGATACAAGTAAAATTAAATCCTTGACAACTTCAATCTTTTCTCTTCAGTGAGGAGTTTTGATTTCCTTGATATCATCCATAATAAAGGTGTAGTCTTTGATCTTCATTAGTAAGTGCTTCAAATCCTGTTTTCTTTCAGCAAAGCAAGATTGTGTCATCTCTATGCCACAGGTTGTTAATGAGTTTTCTTTCCGTCCTGACCCTGCATTCTTCATAGAGTCCAGTTTCTCAGATTCTTTACTTGGCATACATAGTGAATAGAGATGGAGAAAGGCTGACACACACCTCTCCGGATTTTAAATCCCATAGCATCCTCTTGTTCAGTTTGAATTACTGCTTCTTGGTCTATATACAGGTTCTGCATGAGCACAGTTAAGTATTCCAGAATTCCCATTTTTCACACTGCTATCCATAATTTGTCATGATCCACAAAATCAAATACCTTTGTATAGTCAATGCCCTAGCTGCTCCGCAGAAACCCTTTATAGGGTTGCTCTGAGTCGCAACCAACTCAATGGCACTCAACAACAAACATCTTTCTCCTATTCTCGACCTTTAGCAAAGATCTCTGTGACAACAGTAATGATATACCTTGTTCTGTTTCCTCATCTGAATCTGGCTTGAATTTCTAGCAATTCCTTGTTGCTGTACTGCTGCAACTGTTTTTCAATTATCAGCAAAATTTTGCATGCATGTGATATTAATAAGAATGTTTTATAATGTCCACATTCCACTGGACCATCTTTCTTTGGAATGGGTACGAAGATGGATCTCTTCCAGTCAGTTGACCAAGTAACTGTCTTCCAAATTTCTTGGCATAGACAAACAGACATTGCATCAGTTTGTTGAAATATCTGTTGACATTCTGTCCATTTCTGGAGGCTTGTTTTTCACCAGTGCCTTCAGTGTAAATTGCACTTGTCCCTTTAATACTAACAGTTCTTAAAGATTTGCTGCCTCCTAAAATGGCTGAATCTCTACCCATTTTTTTTGGTACACTGACTCTGTGTATTCTTTCCATCTTCTTTTGATGGTTCTTTAGTTGTTTACTATTTTGATTGTAGGCTCCTTTAGTATTGGAACTCGAGGTTTGAATTTTTTCTCCAGTTCTTTCAGCTTGAGAAATGCTAAGCGTGTTCTTCCTTTTTATTTTCTAACTACAGGTCTTTGCACATTTCATTATAATTCTTTGTTGTCTTGAGTCACCCTTTGAAATCTTCTCTTGCAAAAATGATGTGGAAGCCATGTCTGACTGGCTTCACAAGAGTGAAGGAGAATCAAACTCCACATCAGCCCAAGGTCAATTTCTGTGAGGCGGAGGTCAGATATGACTCCACCCTCGATCCTGGTTGATCCTATTCTGACACCAACCATCCCTCCCAGGGCACTCTACTTCTCTGCTGAGTTCAAATATTCATTGCAGAACTTACAGACTACACTCACAAATTTGGAGATTGTTAGGGAAGTTAATCAGGATCAGAAACAACTCAGTATCTAGCAGTCCTCTGGTCAGAAGTGCTTCTTCTCAGCTGAATGCAGGCATGCCTCTCTCTGGTCTTCAGTCTTTCTACCACATGGGCCCTTGGCCCCTGCCCTGCTCAGGCAAGCATTGCAATCTCCTTTAGCGCTCCTGATAAATGCCTAAAGGGCACCCATTCTGCAAGCCAGCCTCCTCCCTGAAGGGTACTCAGCTTTACCTGTACTGTGGACCAAACCTGCTGCTCTGCCTCCCATTGTCCCTCCGCTGTCACCTCTGCCACTGCCACTTCTCTATGCAGGGACCTTGTGGCTTTCCTATCTTGGTGGTCTTAAGATCCTATGTTCCTGCTTCTGAGATGGCTCTTTTTAAACCTAGCAGAATGGCAAAACTAACCAATTGCTGATTTAGAGTCTCATACACCCTATTTTTCTGGTGGTGGTGGTGGTGGTGGTGTACTGGGGAGTCAATTCCAACTCATAGCAACCCTATACAGGGTTTCCAAGGGTGTAAATTTTTACAGGAGCAGAAAAGCCTCATCTTTCTTCTATAGAACAGCTGGTAGTTTCAAACTGCTGACAAGGTTAGCAGCCCAATTCGTAACCACTATGCTACCAGAGCGTCAGGCTGCTAATCTCAAGGTCAGCAGTTGAAAACTACCCACAGTTCTATGGGAGAAAGATGAGGCTTTCAACTCCTGTAAAGATTTTCAGCCTCAGAAACCCTACGCAAGGTCACTATGAGTTGGAACCGACTCCATGGCACATCACCACCACCACCACACCCTATTTATATAGTCATAATTTATGTTGTTGCAAAAAGGTATT